GCCCTGGTAAAAAAATAAACGTAAGGTGACGGTCTCAAATCCTATGGCAGCTGACCGAATCACACAAACATACCAACTAAATCCAGTGGAGCCAGGTAAAAGAAACCGAATAGTGTCCAACATTCCTTGTTAGATAGGGGCGATTGAGTTTGCTAAGACGGAGGCTACTCAATTGTGTAAGTTCTTCGAGGTGAAGTCGGGCGCACGATCTGTCGCGTCTATATTCGAACTATTGGTTCTTCGCTACATTCACCGGAGTAACTGATTCTAAACCGAAAACAGTAGCATGTATGTTACACCGCTTGTTGTGAACATGATGACATGGTACATCTTCCAGGTTTCTTGGCTGTGTAGTCACAGTGATGTTCATGGCCGATTGATTTGTCATTCGATTTGATGATTGCTTTTTTCGCATTACCCTTCCTCCGCCTCGTGTCAAGTAGTCGTCGATGCATCAATAACCGCATAGGTGGGTCTGGCTTGTGAGTTCCTATCTAAACCCAGCCTAATCTGTTCGATTAAGTAATGCGAGTTTGGTCATGCGAGACATGAGATCTGCCTTGCAATTCATGAATCTGGTTTATGATGACTGATTCTGGTTGGTTCCATTGTGCGTAGAGTGCAGCGGTCCCGTTCTGACTCTGAGAAATGGAGATTGAATTCCTACGGTGATCACATTTACCGTGTGCTTTTCATCAAGAACATACAACACAGCGCTAGTGACTAACTACATTGAGGACCTGTTAACCCAGTACCTTCTCCGAACGATTATGAATTTAGATATTCGACCCGTTTTCGTTGAATGATCACGGATTACAAACAGCCCCACTTTATCCAATAGGAATTGAGTTCTCCTCACGCAAAAGTGGATATACTAGTGTTTTGGATAAACCGATTCTTTGTGTACATCCTCCCCAGGCCACTCAACTTCCCACTGAAAGCTCTCATTATGATCGTTTAAACGTACATCCATGTTACTTAGTCATTTCATGTTTTGTCTCAGTTAGAACCAATATATGAATAAGTATATACAGTGCATGATATATGACTTGCTTCTACGCAGCACAAAACCATGTCCACTGTAAATCACCTGTCCACCAATCCATGACTTTTTCGTTTCCTGTGAGTTCTTTTGTTTATTCGACTGAAAAAAATCGGTTGATTGCTCGCCCGGCCGCCCGCCTGCCTGGCTGGCTGACTGACTGATTGTCTTCTCCCGTCGGCAGTCGAGTGCGATAAATAACGAGGAACATTCCAATCGAATCACGTGCGAGCCCCGATCGACTCGGCCACATAGTCGCCCACATGCGCGAGTGGGGACACACACACAGGTACCCAGCAGCACCGTCTTGAATCTGTTCCCATCTATGGGCACCCAAGGAGGTCATGACCCCCTCCATTCGTCACCCGTTTCCTAACCGTCATGGTGGTGGTGGCAGTCATGGGGCCGATCGGCGCGACCAGCTTGTACAAGCGCAACCTTCGCGCGCACATCACGGATCTAATACACATGTTTGTGCTCACACACACACACACACACACACACACACACATATATATATATATACACACAAAAATTGGCATGCATGCATGCAGAACGGTTTGTGAGTCATCATATTTAATTAGACTAAGCACGGATAGGCAACGCATACCTGCGTGCTTGGGCCTGTTTATTTGGTCGGGGAGTAGAGGGAAGGGGGCTAGCGTGAACGAAACGTACAGAAAGGAATTAATTGTATGTGAAAGAAATTCGATCACGACAGATGTGTACAATTGTAAGATAGACTTGTAATATATCCGGCTTTAGACAGCGAATGCTATTTCAGAAGAAAAACATCGGGTTGAACTGTGAAAAGTTGACCATCTTATGCTATGATTGAGTGGTTGGAGGGGATTCTTGTATATGTAGAGCAGAGGAAGTGTAAAAGTTAGATGGTGACTAGCTAGTGCAATTGCGTTCTGTTTTGCTGACGTTTGGGTTCGATTCTGTGTGTGTGATGATGATGATGATGCACGTCAAAGTCGCTTTACTTTCGCACTTATATCTGCATCGTGGTGATGCATTAGCCTTGTCTTTAATAAACGAAGTTATAAAAAAGAAAACAATGACCTACATTTCCTCCTATGATCCTGGATTGACGTGCCCACCTTTCCGATCCCTTTCGTCCATTCCCATTTGTCGTAATGCAACGTATGTTGCTGATTCGCTAACCTTGCATGGATCGTTTTAAGCTTTCTGTGTTCAGTTTATTTATTTTGGTAAAAGAGCTAGCTGTCAGTCGTCCCAGACTACGACTTGTTCCGGTTCGAGATGAATTGCTGAATGGGCCAAGGCTACACGACGACTTTTGTGCTTTTGATCTATCTGAAGGAGTACCCTTGAATAACAAAAGAATTTTGTGGTTTCTTTCAATGAGAAAGTTACACCCTCCCCCCTTCATCCTAAGATCTCATTAGTTCGTGTTCCCTCCCTTCATATCTTTCTTTACTTTTGTTCGGTTGAGGTGTGATTCTAATTCCTTTCAGCCTGCTTTTTATCCGTTCACATAACCTGCAGCGGTTAACCGTAGTACGTTCGGTCGATTAGGCTGTCTGAGTAATCTAGCCACGAATACCTCTTCGTCGTGTGTATCTGTTTGTGTGGTCATGAGCGCTTACCCCGATTTGTGGCAGTATCTACTGGCAGCCCTGGGGATTTATCTCGCATCATTACTGCTCTTCACCGTCCATCCCATTCCGTATCCCGATTAGTCTGAAAACGGTTCCGTGATTTTCATCCTTCAAGACA